GTTACGGGCCGGATCCCCAGTTGGGGGTGTGCAGGAGGCAGCCGATCAATGATGACTCTCTCATCACTGATGTTTCTATCTCTTTCTCTCCTTCTCTCTTCCTCTCTGAAATCAATAAAGATATTTTTTTTTAAAGGGGGGGCTGAGGATCTAAATAGACACTTCTCCAAAGTGGCCATATAAATGGCCAATAGACATATGAAAAAGTGCTCAAAGTCACTAATCATCAGAGAGATGCAAATTAAAACCACAATGAGGTGTCACCTCACACCTGTCAGTATGGCTGCCATCAACAAATCAACAAATGACAAGATGTGGAGAAAAGGGAATCCTAATACATTGCTGGTTGGTGCAGCCACTATGGAAAACAGTATGGAGTTTCCTCAAAAAATTAAATATGGAACTGCCATTTGACCCAGTGATCTTACTTCTAGGAATAAATCCTAAGAAACCTGAAACAACATTCAGAAAGAATATATGCTCTTATGTTCATAGCAGCGCAATTTACAATAGCTAAGGTCTGGAAACAGCTCAAGTGCCCATCAGTAGATGAGTGGATAAAAAACAGTGGTATATTTACACCATGGAATACTATGCAACAATAAAAAAGAAGGATCTCTTACCCTTTGGGACAGCATCATGGATGGAACTGGAGAGTATTATGCTAAGTGAAATACGCCAGTCAGAGAAAGACAAGTGTCACATGATCTCACTCATATGTGGAATCTAATGAACAAAATAAACTGATGAACAANTCTTTCTCTCCTTCTCTCTTCCTCTCTGAAATCAATAAAGATATTTTTTTTTAAAGGGGGGGCTGAGGATCTAAATAGACACTTCTCCAAAGTGGCCATATAAATGGCCAATAGACATATGAAAAAGTGCTCAAAGTCACTAATCATCAGAGAGATGCAAATTAAAACCACAATGAGGTGTCACCTCACACCTGTCAGTATGGCTGCCATCAACAAATCAACAAATGACAAGATGTGGAGAAAAGGGAATCCTAATACATTGCTGGTTGGTGCAGCCACTATGGAAAACAGTATGGAGTTTCCTCAAAAAATTAAATATGGAACTGCCATTTGACCCAGTGATCTTACTTCTAGGAATAAATCCTAAGAAACCTGAAACAACATTCAGAAAGAATATATGCTCTTATGTTCATAGCAGCGCAATTTACAATAGCTAAGGTCTGGAAACAGCTCAAGTGCCCATCAGTAGATGAGTGGATAAAAAACAGTGGTATATTTACACCATGGAATACTATGCAACAATAAAAAAGAAGGATCTCTTACCCTTTGGGACAGCATCATGGATGGAACTGGAGAGTATTATGCTAAGTGAAATACGCCAGTCAGAGAAAGACAAGTGTCACATAATCTCACTCATATGTGGAATCTAATGAACAAAATAAACTGATGAACAAAATAGATCCAGAGACATAGAAGCATGGAACAGACTGAGGCATCTCAGAGGGAAGGTGGGGGTGGGGGGTAGGTGAGGAGGGATTAACCAAAGAACTTATATGCATGTATGCATAACTCACAGGCACAGATAATAGTGTGGTATAGGCCTGAGATGGGGGGGGAGGTTAATGAGGGGGAAAAAGAGGGACATCTATAATACTTTCAACAATAAAGATAAAATTTTTAAAAATATATGTAGAGGGCCAATAAGCACATGAAAATTTGCTCAAAAGCACAGTCATTAAGGAAATATGATTTTAAAACCACAAATATATACTACTATATACCCACAAGAATTAAAACTTTTAAAAGCCAAGTGTTGGTGAAGATACGGATTAACTGGAATGCTTATACATTGTTGGAGGGAATAGGAAATGGTACAAGTGCCTAGGAAAACATTTTGGCAGTTTCTTATAAATTAAACATACCCTAGGCTTTCAAAGAGTGGAAGTGTACTATATTTTTACTTTATATATATTTTAATCTTCTGTGTCTTTAATAAGGTCCATTCTTTTATTAGAAAGTCATCTTGCTTTAAGTTTCACCTCTGGATCTAGAAAAATAACTCATACTTAGACTGATATAACATCTACAATTAAAGTTTATATTTTATTCCATATCTTTTATAATGATTGAAAAGGAGGCAATGAATAGGTAGCATTCATCCTAATTGGTGTTCCAGCCTTTAGCTTGCCTACTACCAATCTAGACTCCACATGGCCACCAGCTGTCTATTCAAAAATATGAGAGTGCCACACTCCAGCTTCATAAAGCTCCAATGACTTTTATACCTTGAAATATAAAAGTCCTAAACCTTAACCTGACCTATGGGCCTGTTACAACCCAGGCCCGGCTAACAATTTGTACCTCATTGCTTGGTAATCCACTGTAAAATCAGGTGATGTCAAACAAATTGCTATAATTCATTCATGTCATTCTCATGTCTTCCTCCCACAGTGCTATGAGCCTGCTCTTCTCTTTGCTAAAATGCTCTTCTATAATTCCCCCTCCCTATCCATAAGGTGAATTCACACTCAGTCATCACCAGCCTAATAAATTCATTACTTGTGTCATTTCTCCTATTTTATTATTAATGTTTGCCTCTGCCACTGAACCAATGAGCAAACCTCAAAGTGTGGTTCTCGTTCCACAGCCAGAATAATCTGACACTCCAGTTAAAAATCTAGATTCCTGGGCCCATCCAACCTCAGAATCTCTAAGGGTAGAGGATAGTAATCTAAATTTTAATAATCCCTCCCCAAGGGATTTTTAATGCATAAAAAAATTGAAAACAACTGCACTAAACGATGAGCTTTAGCTTCTTTGTTCTCCCAGAGCCTAGTACATGATAGGTACTCAATAAATATTTATTCAATATATACATGATTATATAATCCACATATATTTCAAATCCAACATATTTAAATCTAAACTTCTCTTTTTTCTCAAACTATTTTTCTGTCTGAGTTAGTGAAGCCCTTATCAGAGTCTCCTTGAGCTATTTTCTCTTTTTATCCCCAAATTTATCATTATTCAATATTTGTTAACTTAGTGTTTGAGTTACAAGTTTTGGACTCATTGACAACTTGTCCTTTAGGGACCTTCTCATTTTCTTCCTTCTGACAACTAGCACAGTTCTTTATCCAAAGAAGATACTCAATTAATGTTTTATGTTTAACTTTATTAAATTTCTTCCTAATCAAAATAAAATATTAAAAATTAATACTGGCCAGGGACCTATAATGCACAAATGTTGGAATGGTTCTACTTTCAAATATCAATTAAAATTGTCCATAAAATTGTCCAAGCACAGTATATTATCTTTCAAGGGTAGAAGACTTGCTTTCTTCAAAGTCAGGCTTAACTGATTACAATTTACCACCACTAATATAAGGAACCCTTTTCAGGAACAAATGCCTAAGGGAAGATCACAGCAGTCTTCATTCTCTGGGCCTTAGGGACTGAGGCTATTTCTTAACCAGCTTCCAGAACATATAAAAAATTTTTTAAAAAAGGAAACATACACAAATGTTTAGATGACAGCCAGAGTTATATTCACGCATCTTCACACACACACACACACACACACACACACACACACACACACACACACACACAGGCACGCACAAAAGCTAACACCAAAACCTGGGTTTCCAATCATGCTGGTTCTCAGAAATGTGTGCTCCCCATAAGGTGCTGTACTCTCTCTTCACTTCTGTGCTTTTGATAACTTATCTACCTTTCACCATCCAACTAATATTTATTTTCTTATATCACAGTATGAACAGAGATGATTATGTTTTTACTCAGCCCTAAAGTCTAAGGATAGCTTCTTCAAAAATAGCCCATGCATTTTAAAACTGAACTCCATCCCCATGGTGCATGCAGGAAATGGCAGAGCTACCTGCTGCCGTCCACGTGGGTATCCCAGCTCAGTGAGCATACAAAGGAGAATCAGGGATTCAAGAAACGAGTCCCCATAGCTGCATTTATCTGGGCTCCCTCCCTTCAGGCAAAGTATAAACGTAAAGGCCAAATGCTACAGGAGGCAATGCATAAGTATAAATAATTCAGAATCTTTCCTTCTTTCTCTCCCAAGTTTTTGGGAGCCTGAGATCTCAAAGCATGGATACTATTCCCCTTCGAGCACTAGAGTGACAAGCGGTATCGCTGTCTGCAGATCACTCTGAGCTCCTCGGAGAACAGTGCTCCTGGCAGTGCTCAAATTTTATGGACAATGTTTATGGCAGGTGATGTTAAAATGCAGATTCTGATGCAGTCGTTCTGGGAATGTATAGTTTTTATTAAGTTTTACTCTGTCTGAGAAGGGATTTCACAAAAATTATAGGCAATGTTCAAAAACTAACCAAACAAACAGTGAGAAATTTTATTGTAGACCAGTGTTTCTCAACTTTGGCTTTACATTAGAAATACCTGGAAAATTTCTCCATTGTCATCTCCACCCTGTCACCCTATCAATTAATCAGAAATTAGAGGGACTTCTTCAGAGTGATCCTAAGGCAGAGTCTGTGGGAACCGCTCTCTTACCCGCCTACCAGTGCCACGCGAAGTCTGGTCCAAGTTTGGTGCAATCAGCAAACAGCTATGGCCTGCGATGAGAAAAGTATCAAATCTGAGAGTATGTTTTTAGAAACTTTTCTAGCACTATGACGTTGCCATTATATCTATTAAATCAAACAATAAAAATAGATGGACTGTTATAAACAGGTGACTTACAAAGAAACCTTTTGATAACCCCTCAAGTAAAGCTTAATTACACAGCCACCTCTAGTGCTGAAATTATGCTGGGCCCCTTCTTTAAGCTGCCTCCCCTTCACACTGAAACATGAAGGCCAGTGGTTAATTGCTCAGGTAGCTCATTGGGAGACCCGGGTACAACAGGGTTAAGGAGCTGGAATGGGGGTAGGTGGGGTTACAAAGCAGGAACACATGCCCTCCAAGTGAGATAGCTCCCTTTCCCTTTAATTACCCTGAAAACATACACACTCTCACATAACACGGAAGGTGAGAGCTGAATGAAGTTTTCTGGGTAATGGCTTGAAATGTTTTCCTTATGAGAAGTGGTGTTGAGTTACAGCGTGCAGGCTGAAAACTGGGAGGAGAGAAGCCACAGCCCCAGCCCGGCCCCCACCTTTTCTTGGGCTTGTAGGAAGGTGGACATGGGCTCCCGGAGACAAGACGAGTGATATGCTGAACTGTCTGGCAGCTGGGATCCACGGCTCCCAGAGTGACCCAAGGACAGTGTTCAGCAGGGCTTAGCCAGGGGCCAGCCCAGCACGCACAGATGCTCCGCTGTGAAATGCCACGCAGGCAGAGACTGACAAGCGGTAGGAGCTGAGCTTTCCCCTCGGACTGCTGTTTCCTGCTGAGTTCAGGGGCGGGGGGGCGCTTTCTGGCAATTCGGCTGCTGCTGCGGCTGCTGCTGCTACTTCAGCTCCCTCTGCACTCAAGGTAAGCAGGCTCAAAGGGAGGGCAGGCTGCAAGGGGAGCCTTTGTACCATGAACAAGATCCGAAAGTTTTTCCGAGGAAGTGGGCGAGTCCTGGCATTTATATTTGCAGCTTCTGTCATCTGGCTGCTCTTTGACATGGCAGCTCTCCGCCTCTCATTCAGTGAGATCAACGCTAGGGTCCTGAAGGAGGACATCGTCAGAAGGGAGAGGATAGCGTTCAGAGTTCAGCCAGACCAGATGAAGATCCTTTACAGCAGCATAAAAGAGGTGAAGCCCCCACTAAGGGGCCACGGCAAGGGCATATGGGGCAGAGAGAACTTGAGAAAGGCTGAGGAACGTGTGCTCAAGAATGAAGATGATTTGGACCAAACCCAGAGGGAAAGAAATATGCAGAAAGGGCCAGGACATGCCAAAATTGCACCTTTGTGGCACCCTGCACATCTGCAGACCCTCCTGGCGGCTTTTACCAAGCCGAGGACAGAGGAACATGACATCAAACCTAAAGCCTATTCTCGCTCTGTGACCCCAAAGCACACGACAGCTCAGGGGGCCTGGAAAACCACATTCATGGCAGCAAGAGGAACTTCATTGCCCACAATATCTGTACACACAGGACCTGTTGGTATAAACCAGGAGGCCCAGAAGACACATAGTCACAGCAGTGACACATCGAAACAAGCAGCTGAAAGGAACCTGAATGTGACCATCAGGCTTAATAGTGACAGATCAAAGCAGCAATCACAGGCAGCAGCAAATGAGAGGACACTCCCTGCCAGCCCACCAGTGCCAAAACCTAGGGAAGCCTTAAATAAATTTGAGTCCCAGAGCAAAGAACTAAATGCATATAAACACAAAGCCAAAGAGAACCCGCCCTTTCCCAAGTTCATTGCCAACTCAGATAGCTTAAAGAAACAATCTATTAATGAGACACAGCTGGGAGGCTTGCCAAAAGATGATGGAGCCAAAGTGGCTGGTGGGAAGAAACTCAGTTTCTCTGAAAGCCATGTTGTGATGCTAACCAAGGAAGAGGGCCTAAAGACAAACACCAAACGGGTCCCTAATCCTAAACCCAAAACTATATTTCCTTTAGTATTGGGTGAGAGCCAAGGGAAACGCATTTCCAGAAATAGAAGTGAGGCATCTTTCTCTCCACTTGCCCCGCAGAGAGCAACAATGTCTCAAACCAGTTTAGCCTTAGCTGGGGGGCTAAAGCCAGCAAGAATCAGCTTCACTGCCAAGGCCCAGCATGAAGAACTCAGCCAAAGGCGCACAAAAGCCCTTTCACCTGAAGACCGTGAAATGCACCAGGTATTAAGCATCGATATGACACTTTCTCCAAGGGACCCCAAAGCTCCAGGACAGTTTGGACGTCCTGTGGTTGTTCCCCAGGGAAAAGAGAAGGAGGCAGAAAGAAGATGGAAAGAAGGAAACTTCAATGTCTACCTCAGCGATTTGATCCCAGTGGACAGAGCCATTGAAGACACAAGACCCGTTGGGTAAGATCCATTTCTCTTCTCTTCCCTCCACACCAAGTAGTTTGGCTCTGATGTAGAGAAGATTTATTTCTAGATAATTTTGTATGATTTTTTTGGTCACCTAGAGAACTAAAGCAATATAAATCATTAACACAGTCCAAATAGTCTATCACCCACAAAAAGAAATGTTCCAATATCAGCATGCCCACTGTGTTCTCTTTCTAGTCCCATTTCTCTGAGACTTTGGCCCTCGCCCCTATTAGCTTATGTTTCATTTCCTTTCCTCTATTGAAAACATAAAAATGATTAGATGAACTCAATTCCTAATAAGGTATGTCTGAATGATAGAGCTTAAATTGTCATTCCATTAGGAAAAGTGACAGTGAAGTGAATTCCCAATTTCAAAACTTTGCATTGCTAGCAGGTTTGTCAGGAATATATTTGGGAATGGAGCACAGAGAAGGAACCTTCTAAGCCTCCCTAAAATCATATCTTAACCGGCAAAATTCTACCTACTCATGAGTAATGATCACCATAATAGCAAGTGAAAAGTGACTTTTCTTCCTAAAGTTTAAGATCTTTTGTAGGTGGGGATGGTAGACATTTCAGTTCAGTTATACAGGAACATCAATGTTGGAAAAAGTCAATCAGCCAATAGCTAGCAAAAACCTGTATAAGAGTATAATAACCGCTTATATTTCTAGAGTGGCAACATTTACAAAGAGCCTGCATACACATCAAATGAACTCCATAAGAGCCCTAGAAAAGAGGCTGCAGATATTATGGGTTCAAATCAGAAGTTATATCACTTTCTCAAACTAGCATAGCTCTAAGGCTTCCCAAAGCACTTTCATGAACCAGTGCTTCAAGGAATGAAATTCCTGTGATTACATCAGCCCAAAGTGGGTCAAGTCACAAGGATATGCTCTGATTCAAATACAGTTGGGCTCCCACCTCTTTTTAACCTCCTCATAGATTAGGGTACTTTGTAGCCCTATATTCACTAATGATTCATATCAAAGTTCCATGTATGCCTTGATATTCAGGTCCCTGAGCCAAACAATGTTTGCCTGGAATTTGGAGTTAGGGAATGTCAAGATTTACGCTTAGCACATGTGGTATGTAAACAAGGGCTTTGTTTGGCCTGTGTAGAAAACTCTTTTTTGTGATCTAGGTAGTCAGTGTTAGTAGGAGGAAGGCAGATATAAAGGAGCCTGTGTTCATATTAGAAAGAGGAGCCTCTTCACTGCGATATCAGCTACAAGGAGGTCATTTTCCACTCTCTTAGCCTTGGCAAATGACTGTCAGACTTGAACTAATTGCCTGCTTACCCCAACCACTGTGCCACTCATGTTCCTCACTCTGGTGAAACTCACTAACCTTGAGGAGAGCACAAATATACCCAAAATCAAGATGAAGAAACTGAGGGCCTGGAAAGGTAAATTGTCAGTGGTAATGGAGCTGATAATTACAGGGAAATGATTAAAGTCCATGCTCAAAATTATGCAGTATGTTTATCTCCCATCTCTTGCTGATTACACGCCATCCCCCCCCTAAAAGGGTCTTAGAAATTATGTTGGAGCAGCTCTGATCTGAAATTCTGTATTTACAAATCATGTGTATTTAACATGATTTATATAGGTATATGCCAGCTTTGTACACAGAATGGAAGGGAATGAAGCGGTAGTTAAAGTAGCTCCATTTCAGCATCCCTTTAGTAGCCCACAGATTGCTATGGATCCTGGGGAAGAGTCAGACATGCACAGAAGCCCAGGCTGCAGTTCCAAACCAGAGAAAGGGCAATTGTGTGAGGGCCAAAAGCAAGTAATAATGATGCTATTATGCATGTGATTTACTGAAGGCTTGCTGACTCCCAGCACTTGTTAGTTTCTGAAATTTGGTCCATGGAGGTTAAGGATTGCAGCCCAAGAAAGTTACTTTCACAGTCATGCTCTGTCTTACGGGGGAGGCTGTCCAGACTCTAGGAGAAACCGACACGTGTGCTTGAGAGGATGAGTCAGACAGCATATGGCCGGGCCCCTCCCTCTCATCACACAACCCACCTTGGCCAAACACACCCATTCTCCGCAAGCTGCCTACCTGATGCCACTGCACCAACAGGATGGAGGGGACAGTTTAGCCACCAGGGATCCTATTTATGGAACCCCCTGAAGTATTGACAGCCTTTATGTACCATTCTTCCTTGAAAGAGAACAAATCTTTTTTTTTCTTCTTTTACTCAAACACGCTGACTACAAATATGTGCAAAATATGTATTCATATGGATAAAGGTTGGAAGAAAATACAAATGAAAAATATTTTATTCATCGAGTTGGCAGGAATTGGAGTGAAGCTTTCTTACTTTGATTTTATTTATTTTCAGTCTTGTTCATAAAGCATATGAGACGGCTTATAAAAATAAACATTAAGATTTTTTTAAAGATAATAAAATTTAAAAGTAGGCATAAGAGAAAAAGTGTTATAGAACATAATACAAAGTGTGTGTGTGTGTGTGTGTCTGTGTCTGTGTCTGTGTGTGTGTGTGAGAAAGAGAGAGAGGGGAAGGCTGGTCCTAAAATTAGCTACTGTAGCAGCCCACTGAAATCTTTACATCTTAAGAGCTCTGGAGAATCTCTCCCTTACTGTCCTTGACATTTCCCCCCAAATCCACCATTACGGATTGAATAACACCGTTACTGGCATATCATAACTACCAAGTGAATATAGATTGAAAAAAAAAAAGGTTAAAAACGATAGACTTGTTAGATTTATTTAAATTCGATCCCCTTCAATAAAGATAATAATAACTAGTTACTAGTTCATAGTATCTTCTTAAGGATGATTTGATGGATATGCCAGGAGGAGGTTGACATTGAGGAGAGGAGAAAAGCAGGACCTCACTTGCTCTAGTTCTAAAATCAGACTCTCTTTTCCAAACCTGCTTTTCCCTCCTTTTCTCTTGAGTCCCTAAAAAACATCTCTAAGATGTTAGGATGTAATCATGGCCTTTTCCAAAACCACAGGAACTCCTTTCTGTTATCAGCATTTTCCTCACTGTCTTTTTCAGTGCCACCCATGTGTCTGCCCTTTGCAGTGTAGCTATAGCTGTCTGGCCGTGACATTCTCTCCAATATGGGCCCTCAGCATGAGGAAACTTAAGTCTCATCACCCTTTCCTACATATTATGCTCATTCCCATCCACTGATGTTTTTATTAGCTAGTCCCTCCCCACAGCCTCCCACCATTTTCCCTCAGACATCTTAATGTGACACTGCTCAAAATCCAGCCGTAGCTCACCTGCACCTGGACCACGATGTGACTGTGACCTCTACGTTCCAATGACCCTTCATGTTCTCGTGGTTACTGAAACACTCCCTGTTATATGCTCTCCACTAACTAGAACCTTGAGAATCTATTTCTCCTACTCAGTGAAATTATAAGCTTCTGAGAAAAACTCTGTCTTTTACTTTCTTTTGTACTCCCTAGTACTGAGCACAGTATTGTGCACTCAGAATATACAAGTTTACACAATATGGCTTTAAAATATATGTTTCTCTAAAATGATTTTTTAAAGTTGATATTCTTTTTAAAAAGTAAATGAGAGGTGACTATTCAAATGAAACTTGCAATGAGTCCTTTTATAAATTAATAATGACTATAATTTTTCATTTTGAATATAGGGAATATATCAGTATCTGCGTAAAGGTAAAAACATCCTGTTCTAACATTATGATATACCCATTAATTCACGTTTATTCTTTAGTGCATATTTTCATTATTGTTTTGGTTTTTAATTTTAATATTTTGACTGTCAAGGGAGGAAAATCTTGTCTTAAAAGGATCTTTTATGTCAGTAAGTAAAATACAATTTCACTTTTTCCTATAAGGTATGTTTAAAATAAAATGCTTTTTGACAGTCATTTTGGAGTTCCAGATTGAATAATTTCTTTATAAAAAGCTAATCCTTATAGTTTTTTTAAATTTTTTAATTTTATTTTTGTTTAAAATATTACAGATGTCCTTTTCTCTCCCCAATGACCCGTTCTTGCTGTTAATTATTAAAGTTGGTTTCAGTCCGTGATAACCCGTACACCATACAAGTGTTGTTGCAGGGCATTTCTACTCAAAGACGTCCGTCTCTGGGCCTGCAGCTATAGTTAAGGTGAAACTCCAAAACTGAACTCTTTTTAGGATTTCCTAAATCTGTATTTAGAGAAAAATGACTCAAAAAGGTTTTTGCTGCCAGCATTTAGTTTCTCAAGCACACTAAGAATTACAGCACGCTCCTCCACTCCTGCCCTGTAGTCATGACTTGCCTGAATTGCTTCATTCAATTCTTGCTCTTCCTGCAGAACGCTGGCAAGCCCCTTGCTAAAATGTTTCAAATTGGTCTCCATTCCCTCAGCCCACGGCTGGGACTTTCAACCAATAATTTGATTCCTTCCTACACAGCTAAAGAGAGTTTTCTTTTGGCGCATGTGAACAGCAAAAGATAGCATGCATTTGCCACAAACCAGTCTAAATTACTGAGGGGAAGGAAAGATCTTTCTAGAACCTTACTTTCCATCCTTCCCCTCCCTTTCCAACCCTGGTGAGGTTAAAACCCATAACTAATGAATTACTGGAGGAGGAGTGAAAGCAGCTAGGAGAGAGAAAACAGACTGACCACATATCATTCTAAACCGCCGGCTCCTAAAATGTATCAGACTTGGAGAAAAGAGAAACTTTAAAGTTAAATGAAGTTCAAAATTTTTAATTTTTATATGGGATGCATACTGCTTTTGTGACTAGTAGTGACTGGAAAACATTGTCTAAAATTGACTGGAAACACTATGAGACCTCCCTGAAAAACCAAACAGGGGCAAGGGGGAGAAATCTCACAGGATGAATTTAAAAGGTTCTTTCTGCTTTCACCCTTATGGGTCAACAGAATGCAATGGTGCTTTGGAAGTGTGTGTGTGTGTGTGTGTGTGTGTGTGCGCGCGCGCGTGTGTGCATGCACGCGCTCACGCGTACCTGTC